CCCTGCACCAAATACATAAAACTAAAAAAAAAGTGAACTGGAAAGGTGGGGTGTGGTGGTGCACAGATGTAGTTCCAGTACTCAGGAGGTTGAGACAGGAGGATAGCTGGGAGCTTGAGGTCAGCCTGGTCTACGTAGTGAGACTCTGTCTCTAATTAATTAATCAATCAACCTATTAATTCAGGTAATTAAATTACCTATTAATTTAGATATTATATTATTCTAAAATAAGTTTTTAGCTATGTATGCCTGTAATTCCAGTACTCAGGAAGCTGAGGCAGGAGGATCTCTATGAGTTCAAGGCCATCCTGGGCTACAAAGTAAGTTCAAGACCAGTCTAAACTGCATAGTGAGACCCTGTCTCAAAAAGACACCCCTCCCCCCGGAGAAAAGAAGAAAGTCTGTAAAGTAGTCAAAATTGTAGAAACAAGGGGCTGGGCAGATAGCTCAGTAGAGTAAGTGCTTGCCTGGCAAGCACAAGGGCCTGAGTTGAGTTCAATCCCTGGCTCCACCAAAAAAAAAATTGTAGAAACAAAGAAAGAGGTGGATTTTGCAGAAACAAAGAAAGAAATGGTTGCTAAGGGCTTGGAAGAGGAGAGAAGGGAGAATTGGTGTTACAAGGGTGTGGAGTTTCAATTTTGCAGAGTGAAGAGATCTGGGGACTTTCTGCACAGCAATGCAAGTAGGATGATTAACACTACCGTTAAGACAGGATTAAGACGGTAAATGTAATGCTTCTGGTTTCCTCAGACACAGTCCCAGTACGTAGTTCAGGCTGGCCTGGAACTCACTATGTAGCCCAGACTGGCCCTGAACTCATGGCAATCCTCCTGCCTCAGCCTCCGAGTGCTGGGATTACAGGCGTGTGGCACCACACCTAGCTTGGTTGTTTTCGGTTTAATGACCGGTAATTGGGACAGAGCTAGGTTTTTGGAAACTGGCAATAGTAGATTAAGGGTCAGGGAAAGTCTGTCCCCTAGCCTTCTTCTTACTTCGCATTGTTCATACATTAAGAGTTTAGTAGTGTGTAAAATACTAAAACATGTGAGTAAAGGTACGCCGGCAATTTCTTCTCCTTTCTGACTCTGTTTTCATCTACAGATTGAAAAGCTGAAACAGCAACTGGTTGAAACAAAGGAAAAAGCCCAAGAGGAGAAGGACAAACTGGTATGTGTGCACACGCCGGCCCGTGGCTTCCTGCAGGGTGGCTGGTGAGCCGGCTGTGTGGGACCTCTGCGGGCCACAGAGCGGGCGGTGGCTGAGGCTTGCCGCGTCCCTCCTCCCTGCCCTCCTCGCTGTCTTTTGTCTTTTACTCCCTGCCTTCCTTCCCCAAGGACTACAAGCTCAAGCCCTGCCTGGACAACTTCATGACTCAGTGAGACCCTGTCTTAAAATTAAAAATTGAAGAAAAGGAGGGGAGCAGGGGACACTGCCGGGCTTGGTCCCCAGCCGGCACGGAAAGTTCTTTCCGGTGAGGTTCTTAGCTGACTCAGTGGACTTGGCTCTTGTGCTTTAGAGGTTGCTGTTTTGTTTTTAAACTGGTGCTGGGAATTGAACCCCGGGCCTTGCACGAGCTAAATGTTCACTTTGTTACCAAGCTAAAACCCAGCCTAGAGTTTACTTTTTACATTTTTGATTTTGCATATAAAATATTTAGATGGTTCAAAAATCAAATTTTGAGAAATAGAACCTTTGTCCATGTATTTTCTTTTTTAATATGTCTTTAAAAAAATCTTTATTATTTGGTACAGGGTCTCACTGCACAGCTCAGATTTGTAGTGATCCTCCTGCCTCAGCCTCCCCAGTGCTGGGATTATAGGCATGTGCTATCACACCTAGTTTTGGTGGCTAACACAGCACAACTAGGGTTCTGGGGGGCCAGCATGGCATGCGGTGCCAGGGATTGAACCCAAGTTCCTGTGCTTGCCAGGCAGGCACTTAGACCACCAAGCTATCTCTCTCCAGCCCTGTGCATGTATTTTCTACAGTAGATAATCGTTTTTATGGCATATTTATTCATTAAAAATATAATTTATGGGGCTGGG